GCGGCGGCGGCGGCGACGACGACGGTGGCGCGCGCGCGTGCATGCGTGCCTGCCGCGGGCGTGCGTGCACGCGTGCTCGTGTCGGGGTACGACGACGTAAGGCAACGAAGGGGAGAGAAATTCTATCCGCTCTTTTCTGTGTGTTTCTCGCCCTCTCTTACTTCTCCTCGTTTCCTTCTCTATCGCTCTCTCCCTCTTTCTTTCCCTTTCCCCCTTTCTTTGCCTCTCTCTCTCTCTCTTTCTTACTCTCTGGCAGTTTCTTTCTTTCTTTCTCTCCCTCTCTTTCTCTCCCCCTGTCTCTCGCTCGCTCTCTCCTTCGTTCGTACGTTCGTTTCGCGCTGCCCTCGCGCTGCTTGGGGGGTATGGTGCAACGAGCTGGAGAACCACCAATACCCTTCGACGGGCAAGTATAGGCCTCGGCTAGCGACTGCACGCGCTCCTCCGCGGAAGAGCCGATCTCTCTTCAGAGAGAGAACGGAACGTTCTCCCCTCCCCCCTGTCACGGTGGGGACCGGTGGACCCCCCCAAGACCGATTAAATCTCGCTCCGCCTCCCACGGCTTGGCACCAGCCTCTCTGCCGATGCTCTTCCTCCACCAACGTGCGGTACCATCTCCTCGGCTCGCTTCCCTCCCGGTGTCTCCTCGTCGTCCCGCTTCTTCCTCTTCCACGCCATCGTCATCGTCGCTCTCTTCCCTCGCTCGGCGTCAGCCGTTCGTTAATGATTCTCTCCTCTTTCGACTCTCTTACCTCCGCTTCGCCTCCCTTCTCTTCTTCTTCTTCCTTATCTTCTCCTTCGTTTCTTCTTCTTCTTCATTTTCTTCCTTTTCCCACTTCTACTTCTTCGTCTTCTTTTGTCTTTTATAACATCCGCAAGAAAAGCTTCTCGATGCCGAGGCACATTGACGTTTTTACGCGAAACACAGTTGAACAATCGTCTGATTAACAGTTGTAAGAAAAAAAAAGTTGAAAATGCTGGAAGAAAGTTTGTACATTCTGATATATTTAAGACAATGTGAATTTGTCAGTGTGAAATTATTTCCGATCGGTAAAGTGAAGAGAAGGGTTATTTTATACGATGATCACACAAGATAGAATTCTAAGTCGCGATTTCTCGTTAATGTTTCGAGCCTTGAACGTTTGATTATATACGATGAATGAGCCGTTAATGTTCGAAGCCTATCTAACTGATCTAATTTCGAATAGTCGGGCGGGCAAGCGGCCTCCGCCGACGACTCGTCCTGACGAGAGCAGCGGCAATCAATGGCTATTAGCGGAGCGAGATTCGCGTCTATTTCATCATTCCCGTCCGCGCATCCTTGTTCCCCCGATGAAACAAACCTGGCAGTTTCTGACAGAGCTCTTGCGTCTGCCAAACGAGCACGTGGCTCTCAAGGGGAAACGGTGGGCAGATCCTATGAAGGCTACGCCCGAGAGACCCCCACCAGGGTCTCTGACGTCTCACGCGCAAGGAACCTCTGCCGTGGTCTCCCACTCTTCATCTGCTCCTCCGTTCTCATCCGTTTTATCTCCCTTCCACCCTCTTTGTCCACCGCACTCTCGCCCGGACCCTCTTCCCTTTTCTTTCCTTTTTTTCCATTCAGTTCTTCCCTCACCTCCGAGGTAGTTGCCTCCTTTTCTCGCGTGCCTGCGCGCCTCGTCGCTCACTTACGTCGGGAATGCGTGCGTGAATCGAAAGGTGGAGGTGCACACGCGTGCGTGTGGGAACGCATCGCGGAATGCGGGACAGCGTAGCTATGGAACCACCAGCGCGGAGAGCTTTTTCTCTCCGCTCCGAGTCCTGCAGGACTCTGCAGAGGCGACCCCCGCGTCGAGAATTTCTCCCTTGTCTATGGAGGATTTTCGCTGCGCGAGGAACGCTTCTTTTGCGGAAAATGACATGTACGTGGAATCGTACATTCTATCTCTCTCTCTCTCTCTCTCTCTCGTGAAATCCTAAAATCGAGTTTAAAATTCGAGCGGCTTTCTTAAGGCTGATTAGAAGCAGCAGGACACCGAGAGAGAAAATATTGAGAAATTAAATATTTTCGAAACATCACAGATGTGTACGCGAACTGAAACCCGGGTTTGCACGGTTGACCGAACCTTCAACGTCAGTCGAAGAACATTACAAATTATCAGTATTGGCCGAAGCTATCGCGCGATACAGCGCGGAATTGACATTACAAATTCCTCATGGAAAATAATCACCGTCATCGCTGCTAACATCATCCCAAAGCCTCGGCAAATGTTGACGGAGTACAAGAAATGTTAAACGTTTGCACATCAATCCGCGTCAACAAATTTATTTGCCTGCGCGCGATAAAACTCGAAAGGGAAAGAAGGCGAGCGCTGTCGGACGTGTCGCTTTCGCACATACTAACGATAAGAATAAAAGCGACGAGAGACATGGAAGAAGGGGTGAGGAAGGGAGGAGGAGGAGAAGAAGGAGGAGGACGTGAGCATGGCGAGCACGCATTCCCACTCGTAATAATGAATTTACGCGACGGAGACGCGCCGTAAATCACCGGTAGCAGGCACGACTGCCCCTTTTACCGAATAACGTGTAATTTGGCGGTCGCTTATGAGGCGGATTCCGCGGCGGAGTGGCTGGTAGCGAGAGAGACGGTAAATAAACTGGAGGCCAACGGCGAGATTGATCGAGCCGAAACGACGCGCGCGCACGCCTTACAACTAATTTCGCGCAATGACTTCAATTACGTTTTTACCGGCGCGCGGAGCCTATATATATTTGCCGTGTCGTTGTCGTGTAGGGAGGAAAGAGAAGGAGGTGCTCGAGTATTCGCGCGCAGAGGTGGCTCATCAGCGAAGCGACGAGCATGCGTCGGGCCGATTGCTCCGACATATGTACCACTTTCCGGCCGACCGACGGTTCTTTCGTTCTTTCCGCCGTAACGAGCGCCGAAACATCAGCGAGAGAAATCGGGATGTAGATCGACATTTCCCGATTCGATCTGACGCCGTTCGGACGCCTGAGCGAGAAAGCCCGGATTTGCGTGTCGCCGCGCGACACGTTGAAGAAAGAAAAAAGTCGATTGGAAAGAGGCGAGAATGAGGCGAAAAAAGAGGGAGGTTAAGTGACGCAACGAGATCGTTTCTTATGCAGGCCGGCTGTCACTCCGTGAAACTTTGCGATTCGGCGGTATATCTGAAAGTACTTTCGGGGGAACTTTTTAGGGACTCGGATTACGTGATAATCGCGCTCGTGATATTTGCCGAAGTGATTTACGTCGGAGTTGCGGCAAATGAGAACGATGGTGAAACTCGCGTTGCGCGATCTCGAAAAGGGGAAAAGAGAGGACAGAGAAGAAGAAAAGAGGCGAGAGAAAGAGACTCTTATAATCTATTATATAATGAGATATTATACAATTCTCGACCCCCTACCCCGCCCAGCATAGAAACACTTTGCGTTCGTCTGTGTGTGTGTGACACACGGAGGCGTGATGGCGCGGGAAAATACTGATGACGAGGGGAGTTTTCATGTTCGCCTTAGAGACGAGTATCGCGCCGATCTAAAGACAGCCGATGTTAATCCGCTTCTCCTTCACGTTTCCGCCGTAACGAGGAAAGGAGCGCCATTATTTACCGAGGAGAAGGCGAGGCGGTTTATCGTTAGCCGGCGAAATCCGAGGCAATTACGCGCGGAATGTTCAGCCGCATCGCCGGGAAGACACGATTGCACGTTTCGCCCGGAGCTCGTAGCGCGCGCGACTGCATATTACCCGCTTCTCCCCTCGCTCCGCGCTATTGTCATTGAGCGATCGTTAAGACGCGTTTTCTCCTTTCTCGCAACTTTCGCGTTTACCTCGTGCGCACAATTCGCACTGATCGCTCGCTCGTCGATTACCTCTAATAAACGCTCGTTAACGAGTCTATTCCGTTTACCATTTTTTTTTTCTCCATCCGGTGTCAAGGGTGGAGCGTGAAACGCGCGCTTCGTACGTTTCTGTTGTGAAATCTGTCAGCGCGAGAAAAAAAG